GCTGACCACGGCCCTGAGGGACCTGCGGAGAGCCCATCACCAGGGCACCTGCCTGCGTGTGTACCGGGGGGTCGATGGGACCCGTCTTACCACCAAGTGTGGCCAGACCGTTCGCTTCGGCCAGTTCACCTCCAGCTCTGTGAAGAAAGAGGTTGCCAAGAAATTTGGCACTGACACATTCTTTGAGGTGGAGACTTGTCACGGTGCCAAGATCCAGGGCTTCTCCCACTACCCCACAGAGCAGGAGGTGCTCATTCCACCCTTTGAGACCTTCGATGTCATCAGGGTAACTCACCGAGGCAACAGGACATACATCCATCTCCGCTCCAATGGCACACGCAGCAAGTACAGCTGCGAGTGGCTTCGAGGTGACATCCCTGGAGTGGGGACAGCTGTGGTTGGGCACGGGGACAGGGCAGGGGTGGCACAAGGGTACTGTCTGTGCTGGGACCTGGGGTGGAGGTGGTGTAGCTTTGGACACATGGTACAGTACAGCTTCAGCAGCTCTACTGGCACCAGAGGGGATGGCATGGGATGGAATGGGATGGGGCAGGATGGGTTTGAAATGTAAATGGGATGGAGATGGAATGGAGATGGGGATGGAGATGGGATAGGGATGAGATAGGGATGGGATATGGATGGGAAAGGGATGGGATGGAGATGAGATGATATGGTATAGGGAGTGGATGGGATGGGATAGGATGTCACAGGACAGGATGGGATGGGATGGGATGGGGATGTCATGGGATGGAGGTGGTGACTGGGATGGGATGGGACGGGGATGGAATGGGGATGGGAATGGGGATGGGATAGGATGGGGACTGGGATGGAATGGGGATGGAGATAGGGAAGGGATGGTATGGGATTGGGAAGGGATGGAATGAGGATGGGCATAGAATATTAATGGGGATGGAATGGGGATGGAATGGACCCCATGCCAACTCCACTGCTCTCCCTGGCAGCAAAGAGACGTGGGAACAAGCCCAGGGCCTTCAAGGCAGGTGAGTTGGGAGCATCCACCTCTCACGGTCCCCCTGCCCTCTCCAGCTGCCCCTGATCCTCCCTGGCACCCCCTGACCCTCTTCTCCTGCTCCCCCAGGCAGGAGAATCCACAGGGACCCTCTGCACGTCCCTGGGCTCCTCCTGACAGCTGTGGGACCAGCAGCTGCCAATGGCACCCACTGGGCCAGGAGGCCACCTCCGGCACCTCTCTCCTGCCACCACTGCCAGCGAAGATGAGAGCTCAGGGATGGAGTCACCAGGGCCACCAGGACAGCCCAGGGGGCACAGGGACCCCCTGCTGCAGGGGGACACTGGCCAAGCCCTGAGGACTCCTGCCCAGAGCTGTGGTGTCGGGGTGCATCTAGGGGGGTGGTCAGGCTGGGCATGGAAGGATCACATTGGGTATTTTCTTCCCTTTTGGGATTTTTTCCTACCTTCCAAAGTTTTTAACTTCTCTTTCCAAGTATTAAACTGCTTTTAGCTCAATTCATGAGTTTCCTTCTCAGTTTTAACCCACCTGATCCTGCTCCAGAG